GCTTCGGAAGCGCCCCCCCCCCCACCCCCGTGGAAAGGGAAGCCTGGGCTTGCCCCAGGCCCCGAAAAGGGGAGGGGGGGGAGTAGCTTCCAAGCACCCCCCCCCCTTTGGCCAGGACCCCCCCAGCTGCGAAACTCAAACAGAAGGACGGGGGGGGGGGGCTTCGGAAGCCCCCCCCTCCCCCTTGGAAAAAGGGGAGCCCGGGCGGACCCCTGGCCCCGAAAAGGGCAAAAGGGAGTGGGTAGCTTCCAAGCCCTCCCCCCCCCTTTAGCCAGGGCCCCCCCCAGCTAAAAACTGCCCACAAAAAGGCGGGGGGGAGGGGGGCAGCTTCGGAAGCCCCCCCCCCTTTTTCAAGGGAGGGGGGGTAGCTTCAAGCTGGGACCCCCTTTTCATGAGAAGTGCGCCACGAGCGCGCGCTTTCAAAGCTTGGGTCAGCTACAGGGATGTAAGGGTGGTCGTTTTCTAAATGGGATTCTCGCGTCAGCGCCGCGAGCATTCGTCTAAAAAGCTTGCAGCACGTTCGCAGATAGAGGGCGGCTCTGTTTCAACGTTGGCGTTGCGCATTCTACGTAAGTCCTCTTCAGCTCCAAAAACTTCAAAACATACACAGCTGTACGGATGGAGGGCGACTCCTCTGGAAATGGTGTCTCGCTTGCGGGTTCCTCGAAACCAATGCCCACTCGTGAAAACCTGCGCAACAGTTACCCAGATGGTGTCGGTCCTGTCTTCAACATGGGGATATGGAAGGATATCTCTGAACACCTCGTTATACCGTATACTAACATGTCGCCTTGCTGGAGATTCCTTTACAGGATGCAAATTAGCTCCTTTCCAAAATGGGGATCTTGCCTGAACTGTATGTCCATCTGATTATGGTCCTTCAGATGGGCGTGATTTGCAATACGTAAGAAGACCTGCAGGGAATTAGAAGGAGACTTGGGGCGGAAGGGTGCATTGCAGCATCGATGATACATTGTGGGTTCACTCTTGTCCTCCTTCTCTTCCTCATTCCTCCTCCTCATCCTCCTCCTCCTTCTCCTCCTCCTCCTCATTCCTCATTCCTCCTCCTCTTCTTCCTCATTCCTCCTCCTCCTCCTCCGCCGCCTCCTCCTCATCCTCCTCCTCCTTCCTCTTCCTCATTCCCCCTCTTCCTCCTCGTCCTCATCCTCGTCCTCGTCCTCGCCCTCCTCCTCCTCCTCCATCCAACACATCCTGCATCCCCCTTCCATCCCCCCGCTGCTCCCTCCATTGCCATTCTGGCTTGAGCCGTCTCGGCCCAAAAAGGCCATCCCCCAAGGCACGACATCGGAGCGCCCGGGCGCCCCAACCGTGCGCCCAGACCGCGCGGGCGACCCGCGGCGCGGCAGCGAGCGCTCCGAGGGAGGTCACGGGAGTTCGACCCCTGGCCCACCGGCGGCGCAGCTCGTTCGTCCAGGAGAGGCGCAGCTCAGCACAGCTCGACCCTGATTATAACCGAAAAAGACCCCCGAACCCTTCGGGAGAGGACCTAAGCTTGGAGGGCCAACGGCATTAGGGATAGGTGGTCTTTTCTGCAACATGTATCGAACACTGTCGAACCGAATCGCCCAGATGTATTATCCCTCATGCGGCGACGGGGACCTCAGTGAGGCCACGTATCCATCGTGCGAGTAAGGTTCGGAGCTCTTCTGTTTTCTATGAGCAGACCGTGCTCGGCGCTCTGTCCGAGCCCAGCTCGGCTCGGCCCGGCCCGAAGCGCGATGCTGGCCGTCTTCGCTCCCTCTCGCGCCGCCCTCCGGCCCGCACCGCGAGGCGCGCCAACCTCGCGCCCCCGGCGGGGAGGCCCGGGGCTCGCGCGAGAGCCCCCGGCGGGCAGCAGAGGGGTTCCCGCGCGGACTGATGGCGGCAGGGGCCACTCTGGCCGCCGAGCTGGGATGCCGTCGGCCCGTCTGCGGCCACTGCCATCGGTAAGGCGGACACCGCGATCGATGACTCCGCGCGGAGCGGGAAGAGGGACGACAGAGGGGGGAGGGGAAGGAGGAGGAGGAGGTGGAGGAGGAGGAGGAAGAGCAGGAGGAGGAGGAGGAGGAGGAGGAGGGATCTTATGATACGAGCCGTTCCAGCGGTCCCGCGCGGCCCAACACTGAGGGGGCGGGGGAACCGCCCACGCACCATGCGACGGGCCGACGAAAAAGGACCCAAAGGCCCACGCCGAAACCCAACGGACCCAGCAGGAACATCCAAAACGGGGCCAAGCGGCCCCAGCGCCAAACCCCGACGAGCCCAACCGACCAAACCAGGCCCCCACCAGGGGAGCACCAACAGGGCCCAAGGAGGCCCCCAAATGAAACACACACACACAGCGTTAACCCCCTGCGCGGGCAGCTGAAGCCGGGCGCGCGCGCGCGGGCAAACAGCTGGCACACACACACACACACGCGCACACACAACAAACAAATGATTCCGACAGTATGTCCCCATATCAGAATCCCCTCGGCGACTCTGGGAATTACCCTCATCGTCGTCCTCGCGATTGGTGAAACGCCCTTACTGTCCCAGGCGTCATTCTCCGTCGCGCCCTGGCGCAGGCCCTCCCCCCGTTCCCTAAATTGCTCCCTTCCTCGCCCTCTTGTTTTGTTTTCACCTTCCGCCGCCGCCTCCCCTTTCCATTGCGCAAATGGCCGCGTCGCGAAGCCATTGGGGCAACCCCGCGGGCCAGGCCGTCGGGGCAACCCCGCGAACCGCTGGCGCGCGAAACCCAGCCGCGGGGGCAACCCCGCGGGTTTCGAGCGGGGCGCCGCCGCGCTCGGGCGGGAGGCGGAGTCCAGCTCTGCCGCGAGCTGCTCCGCCTCCGCCCTCTAGCTATCCGCTCGCACGTCGAATTCCAAGAGCGCCTTCCGCAAGGACGCCGGCGGCCTTCGCTCCAGGAATTTTCGCGGGGGCGGCCGCAGGATCAGCATGCCCCGCACGCCCGTGGCGCGGGATAACACGGCGCAGAGATGCAGCTACCACTGGTCGTCCGACACGCCCGCGCGGCTAGCGTCCACGTCCCTCGCGCGGTCGACGGTGACACCGTTGTGCAGCGTCTGGCCCTGCGACAACACGGAAGTGAGATAGGACGCGTGCGTCATGGTGAACCCAAAGCGGAGCACGACGTGCGGCCCCGAGCTCTGCCACATGAGTTCCTGCTCGCTGGGCCTGAGCATCAGCAAGGTCCGCACCCGCGATTCGGCCTGAACGTCGTCGCCGTCGCCTCCGGCACCCTGTCGCAGCAGCTCGACGACCTCCTGGTAGATCGGAGACCCCTTGAAGCCGCGCACCTGCTGCCAGATTATCTGCGGCAGGATGCGGGGCGAAAATGCTGGCCTGGCGAGCACTCTTCGCGCCGAGGCTCGTCCTCGGGGTGGAACCCGAAGGGCACGATGGTGGCCCCGTGTTCTTTGCACCAACTTGTAGCGAATACTACCGGCACGAGGCCACCGCTCGAAAGCTCTCGGCGGAAACCTTCCTCCAACATGAGCGTGGCCCCTCGGGAGGTGGCTCCCGCGTAAGATCCCCTCGCGTTGCAGGATCCCGATGACCCACTCGGATTGAAAACACAATTTGCGAACCCCACAAGGAAGGGGGTCCCGCAGAATACTTCCTCGCATCTCACTCACAGACGATGCTCCCACCTAATATTTCCCCCATGTTCAGGCCTCAGGAGCCCAAACGTGACGGCAATCACAGGTTTGACGACGACCGCTCGAATTGGAAACATGAAGCGCGGAGCCCATAAGCATAGGGGCTCCCGCTTGAGACTTCCTCGCGTTTCACTCACAATCGAGGCTCCCGCATAGCACTTCCCACCTGTTCAGGCCTCAGGAGCCCAAAAGTGCGACCATTTTGACAATGACCCGCTTGGATTAAAAAGCGTTAAATGCGGGCCCCATAGGGAGGGGGTTTTCGCCTCAGACTTCTTTGTAATTCACTCACCGACGAGGCTCCCGCTTGATATGTCCCCCATTTTAGGCCTCATGAACCCAGAAGTGAGGACTGCCACAAGTTTGACGATGACCCGCGCGGATTCAAAACGTGAACTGCGGGCGGGCCCCATAGGGAGGGGGATCCCGTTGGAGACTTCCTCACAATTCATTCACAAACGAAACTCCAGCCTGATACTTTTTCCTCCAGATTCGGGTCTGAGGAACCCAGCAGTGACGACAGTTCCAGGTTTGACGATGACCCGCACTGAATACAGAGATGAAGCGCGGGCCCATCAGCGGAGGGTCCCGCCTGAAACTTCCTCGCAATTCAGTCACAGACGAAGTTCCAGCTCGACACGTCATCAAAGTGACTGCGTGCGTGTGTGAATGATGACGATGGTGGTGGTGGTGACGACTGTGACGACAGTGATGGTGATGATGGTGTGGCAGTGGCGAGTGTGAAATATGGTGGTGGTGATGATGATGATGACCGACGGCAATGATGGGATGACGGTAGTGATGGCAAAGTGTGATGATGCAACGACGATGACGATGTTGATGGCGAGTATCAGAAAGGGCGAGTGTTGATGATGATGATGATGATGATGACGATGATGACGATGATGATGATGATGATCGTGGTGGTGGTGGTAGCAATGATGAGCACAGGTGTGCGTGGGTGCTACTGATGGTGGTGTGCGATGATGTGATGATGCTGGTGATGAAGAACATGCTGATGGTGAATAGGATGGTGACTGTGATGGTGATGGTGGTATCGTTATGTTGGTGATGGCGATTATGAGAGGAAAAGAGGGGATGAGGAGGGGGATAGATTGCGCGGTGGGTGCGAAGAGAAAACAACACCCCACTGTGGATGTGGTGATTGCAAGGGGCGCGCAATCCAGACCCGAAGCCGAAGCCCGTCAAACGGAAGGATGAGGAAAGGGGGACACGGGGGACGAGGAGAAGGCCCAAACTCCCCGAGATTTGTTCGCCCCCCCCCCCACGGTTCCCCCCCCCGCACCACAACCTCCACCCCCCAACTGCGGCGAGCGCCTCGCGCCGAAGGACGGCCTCCACATTCGCGGCGAAGGCCTGCAAAACCGCCGCGCGCGCGCCCCCCCTCATCGGCCTCCTTTTCCTACGTTTAATCATCATCACCATCATCATCATAATCATCATCAGCATCATCATCATCCTCATCATCATCGTAATCAGCATCATCATCATCATCATCATCATCATCATCATCAGCAGCATCACCTCAATCGTCATCAGCGTCATCATCACCAGCATAATCAACATCAAAACCAAAAAAATCCACATCATCGTCTTCATCTTCATCATCATCATCATCATCGTCATCATCATCATCATCATCATCATCATCACCATCATCATTATCATCGTAAGGGATCCTGCTGGACTGGTGTCCTGCTTCTGCGTTTTGGTTTGATTGTCTCGTGTCTACCAATCCCATTCGCAATGTGCATCTGCGTACACGGATGTAGACTGTGCGTGCACCGCGCGATAGCAATTTGGGCCCATGCCTAACGAAGGAGGCTAAAGGCCACCGAAACGCGTCGCATTTGCTAGAAGGCGTCTTGAACTGTGCACTGTGATGAAAACTTGTCAGTCCTGTCTCCGCGAAGCTGTCTACTGGGCAGGCGCGCGGCCAACCACCCACCCAGAAAAAACTGAGAGGGGGGGTCTCTCAGCGCGCATGGTATCCAGCTCGTACTACTCCTAGTCTTCCTCCTCTCCCTCCTCCTCCCCAGCACAGACCTATCCTGGGGTGCGTGGCGACCAGAGCTTCACAGCGAAGCAGACGTGGCGACGAGGGCGCCCCTGGAGGTCCAAAACCTTGAGCCTACCTCCTCCCTCCTCGTCCCCTCGTCCTCGGGGACGGTGGGGGGGAGAGGGGACTTCAAGGGTACTGCTACCGCCAGGTGGGTCAGGCTGGCGAGACCTTTACCTGGTCGCGATCGTTCTGGAATTCCTCGGGGCTCGACCCCCTCCCTGAGCATGTATCTCTATGGATTATGGAAGAGGGCCTCATTGATGTTGCGTGTGCCTTTTTGGCTGGTGGGCTGTACCTCTACCAGACCGTCTGCAAGAACCGTGCTCGGTGGCCGCAATTGGGCAACTACACGCTACCGCTAAATCCCACCTCGAGGTCCTCCAGCAGCTTTAGAAAGGCTTGCCAACCCCTGGGCTCCCCAGCAGCCAGGGTGCGGATTGACCCGGATCTCCTCCCTGGCGTCCACCCTCAGCACCCGCTGCAGTTCAAGCTCGCACGGCAGTGGCGCACTGGAACTGGAAATCACACTCCTCATCTTGCCTTCCTCCTCCAAATGCTCATCCATCACCCTCCCCCCTCCTCCTACTTCTCCTACTTCTCCTCCTCCTCCACCTCCTCCTCCTCCTCCTCCCTCCTCCTCCTCCTCCTCCTCCTCTCCTCCTCCTCCTCCTCCCCTCTCCTCTCCTCCTCCTCCTCCTCCTCCTCCTCCTCTTCCTCTTTCCTCCTCCTCCTCCTCCTCATCCCTCCACCTCCTCCTCCTCCTCCTCCTCCTCCTCCTCCCTCCTTCCTCCTCCTCCTCCTCCTCCTCCTCTCCTCCTCCTCCTCCCTCCTCCTCCTCCTCCTCCTCCTCCTCCTCCTCCTCCTCCTCCTCCCTCCTCCTCCTCCTCATCATCATCATCATCATCATCATCATCATCATCATCATCATCATCTTCAACCTCCTCCTACTCCTCCTCCTCCTACTCCTCCTCCTCCTCCTCCTCCTCATCATCATCATCATCATCATCATCATCACCACCACCACCACCATCATCATCATCACCACCACCACCACCACCATCATCATCATCATCATCACCAGCACCATCAGCATCATCAGCATCATCATCATCAGCATCATCAGCATCATCATCGTCATCATCGTCATCATCAGCACCAGCATCAGCATCAGCATCATCATCATCAGCATCATTATCATCACCATCATCATCGTCATCGTCATCGTCATCGTCATCATCATCAGCAGCATCATCATCACCATCATCATCATCATCAGCATCATCATCAGCATCATCAACAACAACGACCTCATCGTCATCATCATCCTCATCCTCATCCCCATATTCATCCTCATCCTCGTCCTCATCCTCATCCCCATCCTCATCCTCATTCTCATCCTCGTCCTCGTCCTCGTCCTCGTACTCCTCCTCCTTTTCCTCCTCCTCCTCCTCCCTCCTCCACCCTCCCTCCTCAACCCTCAATACATTACATTCCCTCCTCCCTCCTCATCCCTCCCCTCCTTCTCCTCCTCCTCCTCCTGCTCCTCCCTCTCCCCCCCCTCCGAAAAGATGTCCCCCCACCCTGTCCAGGCGTGCGTTCTCACCAGCATTCCGAGGCAGATCCAGCCGTAACGATGCGAGCGCTCCAGGAGGCCCGAAAAGAGCGAAAGCAAGGGAAAACAACAGCCCTCGATACTCGAACATCGAACCTCCCCCCTGAATCCTCAATCCATCCCATCCCCTCCTCCCTCTTCCTTATTCACCTCATCCTCATACCCATCTCCACCCGTATCCCCATCCTCATCCCCCTCCCCAATCTCCGCCCCTTCACAGTATGAATAATCACATCCCTCCTTGCCTGAAATTGTCAGGAAAGTCTCCCGCACCCTCCGCGTGCTATGTTTCACACACACACACACACGATTTCAAAAGGTGATGCTTCATGGCGTCTACAATCCAACTTTCCGGTGTTTCAAAATGATGCTCCCGTTGCAGCGTTTGACTCAATTTCGGATCGGTACGTTGCTCCCGTGGTTCATAATGGCACTCTCGTTCCAGCGCGGGCCACTTTTCAGGATTCGAATCTTGCTTCATTGTGGTCCCTCCCATCATTTCCCCTCCTCTGCATTCCCCTGGTCCACCTGTTCCTCCCGCTCCTTCCATTCCAATTCCCGATGCTGCTGTTTTTCTCGCCCCAGCGCGGGCCACTGTCCGAGTCTTGCTTCATCGTTGTCGCGCCTCATCATTTCCCCTCCTCAACCTTCCCTTGGTCCTCTTTTACCTCCTGGTCCTTCCGCTTTAGTTCCAGCTGCTGCTGCTGCTGCTGCTGCTGCTGCTGCTGCTGCTGC